TTCTTGGGGGAACTCGAGCTAACTACCACCAACTCAAGCTTTTGCTAAATCTAAATGCGAGGCTCCTCCTTTGTTTCTATCCCCAAAGCCATAACTTTCTTTTAGGGTAATATGAAGACTCCTAATATTTGCAGTATTTTTCGAGATAATTTTGAGGTAAAAAACCACAAGTTTCTAGATACATTATTGATAGATGTATAGAACAATGACATTAATGAGTTACTTGAGTGTTTGGTTTCTAACAGAGCCTTTTATACTCAGAGAAAGTCTAAATGGTCAAATATAGCAATTCTCCTATTGCAATATGTCATTGTGAATTGAATCATATCCTGAATATTACTCAAGATTACATGTAGAAAACCGTAACCCAAGTGCAAGTTTTAGATTTGTGGGAGTAATATTTTTGTTTCTTCCATCTTTTGTCTGTATCTGGTGTGTTCCTTCTGAAGTTATGATGTTCATATTTCTCTTTCTTCTTTTTCCTTCTATCACAGTTCTCTGCAACAATATATTTAGTTACTATCATTTATTTACTTTTTTACTTGGCTCTTTGATTTATGTTTGTATCTCACAAGTCCGGCTTCAATCTGTGTGGTGTTTGTTTTGTTGCTTGCAAAGTTCATTTGTCATGTTAATCCTTCTCTACTTCTGCTTGTAGAGATGCTTATATTTTCTAATTTGACACATTCTCAGCTGTGCTTCTTCTTTGTTTTTTACTGCCTAACAAACTTCAAATTTCACAGGACGAAATTCATGAGAGGGATCGCTACTCCGATTTCATGCTCGCTATTCTCAGGTGCATTGGTTTAATCTATTTTATTAGTTACATAGATATGTGGATTATAATTTTGTCCGTCATGAATGATCTTTCTGACAGGAATTGGGATCATAATGTGCTAATTTTTGGCTTGCCAACTGGCCAAGTCAATTAACCTCCTTTCTGTAGCTTATTTATGCAAACCTGTCTGGATTATAGAAATTAGCTTGTCATTTTCATTCAAGAAACATAAAAAGGTGTCACTACTTAATTCCTTTCAATTTAAACCACTGTGAAACAGCAAATGTTCAAGTTGATCTTTCTTTACTTGTAGGGACTTGCTTCCTTCATATCCAAATTTGCATTTGGTAAGACTTCTCATTTTGCTTTTGTATTGTAATAAAACAGTGCCTCTTTTTCTTGTTTTTATTCCAGTAATATGTATGTGGTTTTATGATATAATCAATTGAATGGACCTCCAAACAGGTTCTGATGAGTGCTACACTGGATGCTGAACGTTTTTCAAAATACTTTGGTGGCTGCCCAGTTATCCGAGTCCCTGGATTTACTTATCCTGTAAAACCTTTCTCCTAGTTTCTATATGCTGATTTATCTCTTTGTTGATTTATGATGTGAGTTTTTGAAGTATTTACACGCCTCTACACCTATGCCAGGTAAAAACATTCTATCTTGAGGATGTACTTTCTATTGTAAAGTCAACTAAAAATAATCACCTTGATTCCACCTCATCCAGTGTCATGCCTGAGGAATCAATATTAACAGAGGAGTACAAAGTTGCCTTAGATGAAGCAATTAATCTGGCTTTTTCAGATGATGATCTGGATCCCCTTTTGGATCTAATATCTTCTGAAGGGGGACCAAAAGTTTTCAATTATCAGCATTCTTTGAGTGGAGTGACGCCATTGATGGTGTTTGCTGGAAAAGGCCGCGTTGGTGACATTTGCATGCTCCTCTCTTTTGGTGCTGACTACCATTTACGTGCTAATGATGGGAAAACTGCTCTAGATTGGGCTGAGCAGGAGAATCAGACAGAAGCTGTTGAAATAATTAAGGAACACATGGAGAAATCATCTTCCAGTTGTGAGGAGCAGCAACATTTACTTGACAAATACCTATCAACAGTTGACCCTGCACTGATTGATGATGTCCTTATTGAACAACTATTAAAAAAAATATGCATAGACTCGGAGGACGGGGCCATCCTTGTTTTCCTTCCTGGTTGGGAGGACATTAACAGAACACGAGAGAGATTGAGAGCAAGCCACTATTTCAATGATCAGTCTAAGTTTTCAGTGATCCCTCTCCATTCTATGGTTCCTTCTGTGGAGCAAAAGAAGGTTTTTAGACACCCTCCTCCAGGCTGCCGCAAAATCGTTCTTTCAACTAATATTGCTGAAACTGCCATTACCATTGATGATGTTGTTTATGTAATAGACAGTGGACGAATGAAAGAAAAAAGTTATGACCCTTATAATAATGTTTCAACTCTTCAATCATCATGGGTCTCAAAAGCAAGTGCAAAGCAAAGAGAAGGGCGTGCTGGGCGGTGCCAGCCAGGGATTTGTTATCATCTTTATTCAAAACTTCGAGCAGCTTCATTGCCTGATTTCCAGATTCCTGAGATTAAGAGGATTCCTATAGAGGAACTATGTCTTCAGGTGCTTCATTATTCTTCCTTGTCATTTGGGAATATGATTTTCATACTGGAAATACTTTGCATGATGATTAGGTGAAATAACTTTTACCAGTTCAAATAAAAAAGATGATTAGGTGAAATATATTGAGCTTGTTGGTAGTTGAAAATATTAGCTAGGGATGAAAGGACGTGAAGAAACTTGTAATAATGAAAATAAAAAGTAATTCAGTAGACTTTTGAAAGTTATTCTAGTTTTGTTAAACAAATCTACTCACAGTGAATGTAAAATATTTAACAAAAGAGCTTGCTATATAGCAGTTTAAATACCTTTTCTTTGGCAGGTCAAGCTTCTTAACCCTGATTGCAAGATAGAAGAATTCCTGCAGAAAACACTTGACCCTCCGGTTTATGAGACCATACGTAATGCAATCATTGTTCTTCAAGATATTGGGGCGCTGTCATTTGATGAGAAACTTACAGAGCTTGGAGAAAGGCTAGGATCTTTACCAGTTCATCCGCTTACAAGCAAGATGCTTTTAATTTCCATCTTATTGAACTGCCTTGACCCAGCATTGACTATGGCTTGCGCTTCTGACTATAGAGATCCATTTACCCTACCTATGTTGCCAAATGAGAAGAATAAAGCTGCAGCTGCAAAAGCTGAGTTAGCCTCATGGTATGGTGGAAGAAGTGATCAATTAGCAGTTGTGGCTGCGTTTGAGGGCTGGAAAAATGCGAGAGAAACTGGTCAAGAATCGAGGTTTTGTTCTAAGTACTTTGTATCTTCAGGCACTATGCATATGCTATCAGGAATGCGTAAACAACTTGCATCTGAACTATTGAGGAATGGGTTTATTCCCGGAGATGGATCTTCCTGTAACCTTAACGCACAGGATCCAGGCATACTACATGCTGTTCTTGTTGCTGGTTTGTACCCTATGGTTGGAAGACTGCTCCCGCCTCTGAAAAATAATAAGAAGGCTGTCATTGAGACTGCAGGTGGTGATAAAGTTCGATTAAGCCCTCATTCAACTAACTTCAAGCTTTCATTCCAAAAATTCTATGAGCAACCATTAATTGCATATGATGAGATAACTCGTGGTGATGGAGGTCTGCTTATAAGGAATTGCACTGTCATTGGGCCACTCCCACTGTTGTTGCTGGCAACAGAGATTGTAGTGGCTCCTGGAAATGAAGAAGATGATGATGGCAATGATGATGATGAAAGTGATTATGAAGATGCTGATGAGGACAATGGCGAGGAAGGTAATATTAAAGCAGATCTGTCAGAAGCCCATCAAGGAGAGAAAATTATGTCTTCTCCTGATAATACAGTTAAGGTCATTGTTGATAGATGGATTCCTTTTGAGTCAACAGCTCTTGACGTTGCTCAAATTTACTGCCTAAGAGAGAGATTAGCTGCAGCAATTTTATTCAAGGTAATTTTTTTTGTTCTGCATTGTTTTAAAGAGAGAACCTTACGCCTCCCCTCCACTCCCCAAGCAAAATGAGAAGAACAGAAAGAAAAACAACACAAAGTAATTAGGGTATCATTCTGTTGCTATGTCAAGATAGTTACTGACATATGTGGCTTTTGGTTGGTCTAATGTGTAAGTGAATGTTATTACAGGTCACACATCCTGGAAAAGTTCTTCCTGAGGTTCTTGCAGCCTCTATAAATGCAATGGGTTGTATCTTGTCTTACAATGGGATGTCAGGAATATCATTGCTGCATGAGCCTGTGGACTCACTTACTACAATGGTTAGTGCTACTGAGATTGGTCAATCTGATCCTGGGTGGAATAACAGAATGGATATGAATCCCAACATTTCTCCCAATTCATTTGAGTACAATGGCCGGCATCAGCGCCCCAATATGCATCATCAAAGAGGTGGCATTCATGTATCAAAGGTAAGACAAACTGGAATCAATCATCAAATTATCATGTCCAAAATACTTGTTTTATTGGATTAAATTTGCTCAAAGTTCTGTATCTCAAAGAGTCTATCTGTACAGGGATCGTCTGCGCATAGAGGTACCATGCAAAGAGGTCATTCTAAGCGGAAGCGTGGAAATGGACCTTATTAAATCAGGTTTTAGACAGATTTATTCACACAATTAACAGAGGTTTTTTTTCACAGAAGCAACAGCAAGAATCTTCCCTTTTTTGTTACTCCAAGAAGGTAAAGTAAGTAAACATATAGGGGTGTTGTATGTATGCTGTAGGGAATCAAAATGGGGTTTGCTACATCAAAGGGAAGATAGATGAATGCTGTATTTTTTTGTTGTATGATACAAAATCTTATAGTCCGAGCATTTGATTGTTCATAAAAAGTACAAAGAAGTGCATATTTTGAAAGAAAAAGTTGTCAAAATATGCCCTTCCCATCTCCTACATTATTTGAGTTTTTCAGACTTTTTTTGTTGGAGTAGAAAGCCTGTCTCCTTGCGCCTTGTAAGGTGCATAGGGACCTGCGCCTTCCTACCCCAATTTAGAGGCAGTCTCCCTCCTGTTTAAATGTTACTTTTGGTTTCAAACTTATTTTTGTTGCTCTTTTGGAAATTTCACTCAATTTTTTTGTCCTTTTGTCTCCGGACTCATATTTATGTACAAGAAGAAATTAGCTTCACATCAACTTCAAGGGTTCATAAAGCTATGAAAAATATATACTATTGTTTCAAAAGCGAGTGCATTATGGATAGGATCTGTGAGTTCAATTAATTAAATCCATTCCTTTCATCTTGAATCCTACATACATACACCAAAAGACATCTAAATATATACATAAATTAACACGATTTTCATTTTCAACTCATTGATTCTAGATTTTAAATTTGTCTCCACTGCTATTCACATAGAAGCAATATCAACAACAACAACAACAACAATATAGTGGAGTCTGAGGATCGAGTGGGATGTATGTAGACCTTATCTACGATATCAATTGACTGAAACTAAACTCTCCTTATAAACAACTATTTCCAGCTTGCCTCTTTTCCCATAAAATCCAAGTGTCTTCATTTCTTGATTTGAAGGATCATAAATCACTAATTGTCCAGAGCTATTTTCCAAAATTAGCTCACCATTTTTCCAAAACCCTAAAGGCCTTTCCACCCTAGAAATAGGACCAATTCTTTGCAATTTAGTCCAACAATTTTCAACTCCCATTTCATTATTCATCACCCATATATCATAATACTTCTCCACTTCTTTTAAACAATAAACAATAAGTGAAATTGATTCTTTAAATGGCACAATCACCCAAACACTCCTCATAATTTCTTGCTCTCCAAAAAATCCAATATTTGATGGTAACTTAATATTTTGAAAAATCTCTTCACTCATGTTAAATAAAAGTATCACCTCATGATTATCAACATCTTGACCTAACCAACAAAAAATCTCATTTTCATATACCATACTCCATGAAGTATTACCATACTTTATTTTAGATGGCACAATCCCTTTATACTTCTTCCAAGAATTTGTATTCAAAGAGTATATCTCAACTTGATAAACAAAAACACGATCAATCGATAGACAAAATAAAATTTGTATTACCTTATAATTGTTTTTCTTCGAATCAAACCCTAATCCAAAATCACTCCCACGTACTGTTGATCCAACAAGACGTTGAATTTGTGATTGAGGTAATATTTTGTAGTCTCTAATTGATGGATTCCATAGAACAATGTTATCTGGATAACCACATAAACAAACAATGCCATTACATGGACCTATAAGTCTTATGTGACTAAATTTGTCTTTGAAGTATTCTGGAAAATCTTGATTGATGAAAACATCAAATGTGTCATTTTGTGACAATGAGAGGATCCTTTTATTTGTAATGTTTCCACGACGACTAATTAGCAAATGAAGATGATTTTGTTTGTTATTTAGGTTATACAAATGCTTCGAGATGAAATTAGGGTTGTTGATGAGAGAATACCAGAATTTGCAAACGCATTTGAACCTTATCAAAGAAGTTACAGGTAATCTTGTCAAAATCTCGAAAATTACATCTTCAGATGGATTCATTACCCTTTAATACTCTCTTGTTTTTTCGCAATTTTTTATTTTATTTTTGGGTTTATCTTCAAATGGATATGTAAGAAAGGAAATAAAAATAGGAGAATCTAAAGTAGTCCATAAATGTAGCTTTATTTCTGAAATATGAGATTAAATTTGATGTTTGAAGTTCCTCATTTCTTGGAATATATGAAGCAATTTTCCATGATCAAAATTCAACCATTATTATTAAGGATGATGTGTAATGAAAAAATGGTTCAATTTTGACATGACATCTTTTTAATTCAAATATATAATTGCTTCAATTAATAATAAGAAAAAGTGCTTATGCTAATATAAGGGGGGGAAAAGAAGACTATATTTTTTTTTGGCTAATAAAAGAAGACAAATTCTCATATATATATATAGCTAGGGTTTAGTTTCCTATTTCTAAGAAGAAAATTAAACACCAATTTCTCCCTCACAAACCATATTATATATATGAGTTTCATGTTTTCAAAAGAAAACACATATAATGCCAAACCATATTATGCTGCAGGTGCTACTTTTGCTCCATCATCATCGTCATCATCAACATCATTCTCGAACTCTCTACTCAAACAGAAGCTAATTACAAACCTTGCTTCTATCTCATAGGGACGAAAAAGTGATGTGTTTCCGCTCACAATCACCATTTTTTTGAAAAAACAAGATTCAAAACTTGAAAGAGTGAGAATTTTGGAAATTAAACCCTAGTTGCAATTAGCTAGTGATGAGGAATGTTGATACTAGCTATGCTCCTCTTGTCCTATTATTTATAGCATTGAAAGTGGCATTGGTAGAAAATATCGACCCATTAATTCCATTGAGAGCTATCTATCATCTTTATTAGTGAATCTTTTTTACTTATAGCATTGAATCTTTTTACTTTAATTTTTGAGATTTACTTTTGCAAAATAAATTGATGAAGTCCACAAATTGTTGAAGGAATGCAATGACATGAGGTAAACTCATGGTTTTCACAATCCACACGTGCTTCTTCTCTTCTTTACACACTCTTTAATTTGCCACATCGGAAATACAAGGTTATATATATATATATATATGTTTCATCAAAATTTATTTATAATTTACTTATGTAAGCAAAAATATTCAAGGTGAGAGCATTTATCTTATTGGTTTCATGTATACGAGTTTCTATGACAATTTTTTGTGAGACTCAAAATGTCACACTGTCTCTTTCCTTCTAGACTAAAATAGTGAATTTTGAAGCTTTATTCATAGTAAATTCAGTGATCGAAAGTTTTGTAATTAATGTCAGTCATTCTAACTATTATCATTTTGAATGGATTGTTGTCACTTTTTTCAATGAACTGTTTCTTTTATTTTTGTGTAGGTTAGTAACCAAATCGAACCGAAACCGATAAGAATCAAACCGCCGATTAAATTAGTTTGATTTTGATTTTAACCAATAGCCAACCCAAACAGACTCGTAAACATCCTAAACATACAAGATATTAAACATGATAATCTCACCTAAAAGTGTTATAAAAATACATATATGATGCGGAATATTATTATAGCAATAAATTGAACCAACAAGTCTTTTTGATAAATTAGTCTTTACCTCCAATTTTATATACACAAAATTTATCTTCCCAGGCTTTCACCTCATGCAGTGATCCAAGACACTTTGTCTATATCATCAAAATTTCATTTAGTCCAACAACTTTCTGAGACAACCCATATAATTAATGTGATCTATTATGAGAGATTAATCCATTTCTGTCATATCTATTATGAGTTCTAGATATATGATTATCTCCAAAAATAATAAAAAGAGCTATATATATTGCTGATATAATGAGAAAAAGAAGACAATAAACAAAGTATATATAACATTATTTGTTAACACTCATCCTTTGCATGGATATTGTCTAGGAATAGAAAATTGACTAATAGAAAACACTACATAGTTTCAAAGCAACATACTAAGAGGTTACGCTGCAGGTGCCACTTTTGCTCCATCATCATCACCTTCAAACTCTCTATTCGAACAGAAGCTAATTATAGGCCTTGCTTCTACCCTGAAGGGACGCAAAGGCGATGTATTCCTGTTCACAATCACCATTTTAATTTGAACAATATAAAAACTTAGATATAAAGCCCTAGTGTTTAATTAGTGATGACTGATGAGGGTGATACTAGCTCCTCCTCTTAGTCCTAGTATTTATAGCAATGGAATGTATGACATTTGGAGAAAATATCGACCCATTACTTTCTAAAGAGAGTTATAGGCCTGCATGCATTTTTAATACTCAATTTTTAGCGTTAATAAATATGCACAACAAAGAGTGCTAAAATCTTTATATCAGCATTTCCATTAGATTCAATGTTGTTATAGGCTTTAATTAAGCAGCATTTACAAAAAGTGCTAAGATGAAATTGTCACTAATAATTGCAGCTAAAAATCATTTTTGATGGAGTGGTTGTTTGAATCCTTTAACTTTTTGAGATTTGCTTTTTGCAAAATGAGTGAAATTAGAAAAGATGAGAGGAAAATGTGAGAGGGTGGATTGGTGAATTTGTGGACACATACACATTAATTGTTGAGGAAATGAAATGGCATGAGGTAAGCTCATGGAAGATGTTTGGCTTTCACGATCTTACACATACATATTCCCTTTCATGCACACTCTTTGATTTGCCACATAGAAATATATGGTCAAAACTAGTTAGTAAAATAAACTTTTAAATTTTGTGATTTTAAATTAACGATGCGTATAGTCTTTTAAATGATTTAGTGGTCTTAAATTTGTCATGTACAATCTTGAAATTGAAATACTTTCTAAATATAGAAAAAAGACACTCTATTTAATACATATCAAACAGAAAAGTAAGATACTTAAATTGGAGACAGAAGGAGTACTTAAAAAGACTTGAACATATAAAGAGACCTATATTCGATAAAGATCAAAGAAAAAACTAAGACACTTAAATTGGAGAAGTATACTTAGAAATTAAAGACTTAAATATAGAAAGAGACACTCATTTGATATAGATCAAAGAAAAAACTAAGACATTTAAATTGGAGAAGTATACTTAAAAATTAAAGACTTAAATATAGAAAGAGACACTCTATTTGATACAGATCAAACATAAAAGTAACTATAACACTAAAATTGGATACAAAAGGAAGACTGAAATATAAAAAGAAACACTCTATTTAATAGAGATCAAAGAGAAAAGTAAAACATTTAATTAGATATAGAAAAAGTACTCATAAAGACTTAAATAACGATTCCTATTTATAACGGAAACACATGAACTAACGTTACGCTACAAGTACCATTTTTGCTCCATCATCATCACTTTCAAACTCTCTATTCAAACATAAGCTAATTACCGGCCTTGCTAGCTAGTTCTATCACATTGAAGAAAGCGACAAACGACGTTGCTTATTTCATTTTTTTTTAAATAAGTTAAATAACAATAACGACACATTCCTCGTTTTGTATGACACCGTCCATCGCTTTTTGAAAAGCGTTAAAGACAAAAGCGACAAAAGTGATTGCGTCATTTTTCTGTTACTTTTGACCGTCGTTTTTCAGCTATTTTTAAGTAGTGATATTTATGCATCAAATGTAAATAAAATATACATATCATGATATTGAACATGATAATCTCACTTAAAAGCGTCATAAAGTACATATCTGATGCGAAAGATATTATAGCGATAAATTGAACCACCAACTCTTGATAAGTTAGTTTCTACCTCCCTCCTTTTACTTTTTTTTTATATATATTATTTAAGTAGAAGAATACAAAAGGGGATTAAATCTTACCTCTAATTACAAGACGATGCAAAAGGAAAGAGGGGAGCAATAAGCTTCAATCTAAAGGTAGCTAAGATGGAGAAAAAAAACGCTATTTCTTTAGTCCATATTAAGTAAATTGTTGGATTATGACGCACCTCTTAAAGAAAAATATTTTAGAGCATCAATAAAATGCTATTTTTCCATTATTGCTCTTTTTTGAAAATATTTTTTGTAGTTGATTTTTTTTGTTAGAGGTATGATCTTGTCCCTCTCTAACTTTGTATCTTTTTTTGAACGAATAGATATGATAGGAGTCAAGCCTAATCCCAGGCTAAGGGCTCACGATCCTGGTGATGGCGTTTTTTTTTTTTTTTAAATCGTAAGATTAATTAACAAATGGTGTATAATTTAAAACATGGTTCAATTTTGATATGAAATATTTGGAGTTCTAGATATATAATTAACTCCTAAATTAATAAAAAGATCTATTGCTGATATAATGAGAAAAAGAAGACAATAAATTGAAAAGTTTTGCCTAATATTCCTAATATTATTCTTTAATAGTCATTTTTTGCATGGATATGCTATGCTCTAGGAATAGAAAATTGATTAATAAAATTTGACTCTATTAATATTACATAAATTAATTTGTAATTTTTATTTCACATCATAAAATAAGTACACAATTATTATTGAATCGACCCAAACCTTGCTAATTGAGAAAACACTACATATTATCTCATTGTCATCACTACTATAGTATATATTTTTTTAATTAATAGAAAGACTAAAGGAGAACACAAGTGCTAATTAACTTGACCGTCATGACTGGCTTCATGGTTTCAAAGCAACATACTATGAAATTATGCTGCAGGTGCCACTTTTTTTCCGTCATCGTCGTCGTCATCATCACCTTCATACTTTCTATTCAAACAGAAGCTAATCACAAGCCTTGCTTCCATCCTTTCGGGGCGAAAAGACGATGCATTTCCCTTCACAATCACCATTTTAATTTGAAATAAATAAAAACTTAAATATTAAGACCTAGTTGTTAATTAGTTATGAGGGTGATACCAGCTCCTCCTCTTTGTCCTAGTATTTATAGCAACAGAATGAGTGACATTTGGAGAAAATATTGAGCTGTTACTTTCTAAAGAGAGTTGTCAGCCTATCATGCATCTACAACAAAATCAGCTTTTAGCAGCATTAAATATGCACTCCAGCATTGCCATTAGATTCAATATAGCTATAGACTTTAGTGTCATTACAAA